AGAATAAATTTAAAATTACTATAATTCATCATTTTTGATATCAATGCAATTGATTAAATTTTTGAGTTCAATTAATAATAAGAATAGAAAATGAAATAATATAATAAAATTGGAAATGAGTAGAATATTGGATATATTTGGAACATATAACGATATTTTCTATTTAATTTCCTTCGTGATACTTTTAAGTGGATGAAGCAGATTTGGAACAAGATATTTATTGAATTTTACACGTTTATTAAAATAAGAAATTAAATTATAAATTATATTAGCTGTAAAGTAGGGAAAACAATTGAAGTGTGTTTACTGAATTATGTGTTTTGCTGTCTTTTCTTCTCCCGTGCTTCCTATGACATTATGTTTAAATATCTAATACAGTATCCTCTATCTTTTTTAACCAAATCGTGCATTCAAATGTTTCAGAAAATAACAATAGTGCGTCGCATCGAGTTCTACGAATAACCTGGACCGTCTGACAATGAGTGGAGGAGCAGGCCTGGGAGAGGCATCAGGCGCCGGCGGAGCAACGTTGTGGTAAATATCCTTTCGATTTGGTAGAAAATTAATCTTTTTCCCTGTTCATTGTTGAATCGTCTTGTTTCACGTTAATTTCTAAATAATAATTAAAAAACAAGAAGTAAGTTGAACATTCATAAAAGTTTATCCTTATGAAAATCTTTTACGGAAAAAATATACATCTAACCGAATAAAAAGTTTAATGCGCCTAAGAATTATATTTTGCAATATCGGATTGCTTGAACACGGTTTTAATTTTAATTTTATATGTTGCAGAACGTACGGCCATCGTAGCTACGTGACAGACAACAACTCCGCTGTTGCGCGTCGAATCGGTGAGTCCAAAACTTTTCTTACCGCGGTAACGAATCTACTATGAACACATCGCATATGTTCGTTGTCTCAAAACGGGTGGGCTAATAATCTCGCAGATAATCGCAGTGCCATTTACTGCGATTGAGATAAATTAATAAAATCATTAGCGACTTTTTTGCCGCGGTGGCTTGCTATTTAATGCTTAACAAACTTCATAATTGTAAACGAATAATTAATAATTGCCCGTCGCATAATTAATCGGCATTTATGGATTGCTTACAGCCACGTGTTTTGTATAAAAATCGTAAATACTGCATTATGATATGCATTTCGAACATTTTTGAGCAATTTGTCGTTAATAAAATTAAATGTATAAACAGCTTGGGTATACATTTTGTATTATATTTATAATATTATATTTTGATGAAATCATACACATCGTATCGCGCAAAGTAAATTATATGAAAAATAATGAATTATACGCGTCAAAATAAAATAACATACGTGGAAAGAAAAGAGAATCGTCAATTACAGACGGTAGAAGTGGCGGGAAAGTCTTTACGGATTAGGTAGTTTGTTTTTACTCGAGAAAAGTTTCAGTAAATCATCTAATCGCAGTGATATTTCGTGATTTAATGGAGCATATATAAAAAGATAAGATTTCTTGTGAATATTTCTGATGATGTTAAAGTACTAAGATAATAAACAATAAAAGAATGCAACAAAAATGCAATTGCCATAAAATATCCATTTCGCAATAATTGTATTCTCTGTTTGTGAAATAAGTATCTTCTCAATTATTTTAATGAACTCCATAACGAAGTAACGCTTCCGTTAGAAGTATCTCATTTTAATTAAAGATAAGAGTGCGGTCAATGTGTCGATCGATCACAGCAATCAAACATTTGCAGATGCTACACATATTTAGTTTGTCTTGATTTAATCAGGAATTTGGCGGAGTGTTTATTTGGCTCTTTGGAAGTTACTGATATATCGAGTGAAATAACATTATTGATGTAATTATAGACGAATCCGTACGTGTCATCAACTACTGACAAAATAGGGTTTTAAAAATGATATACAATACACATAATTATAATTTAAACAAAAAATTTAATTCTATTAGCTATGAATCTGTGTATTTTTTAAATGTCTGCTAAAGCAAAATATTAATTGAGAAATCGAGGAAATTTATAAAGAAAGCAAGTAAAAATCTATCTGCGAAGCGTAGAATTAATTCTTATTGTTAGTGTAATTCATATGAAATACCGGATGAATCACTCGATGACGCACGTATGTCGCTCGTCAGATCGCGTACAATTCGAAATATAGTTGCTCGAAATGTGTTGAATTGTGAAAATCATAATAATTCAGTCTGGAACGCTGAAATCCCCGACGGCATTAAGTTGAAATAAGAGGGACGACGAGGAAGAAATATAAATGTAAATATTAATACAGAGAGAGTTGGGCTACTATATGGATCTTAAGAGCCAAGGGGAGACTTCCTCCACGAGCTTGCTTCCCTAGCCTCTTTCGTTCGCTCAAATATTTAATGGATTCGGCTAGATCCACTCTTAGCTTTAGGTATATTCGTGTAACTTTCCTATGTGTGTAGATTGAGTTCGTGTGCCGTCCAATTTATATGCGCACACACATACGCTGTACGCTCGCGTGATTCTGCGCACGAAAGCTCAAACTACATCCTGAGGAGTTGCAGCCGATTCACATTTCTCTCTGGTAAAATTACTTTTGCAATCGGGTAGAATGCATTTTTCAACGATACGTTAAATTACATCGAACAATGTGCGATTCGTGTAACGGGGAAATATTATATTAAAAAAATATCACAGAACCAGGGGAAATATATTCGTAAATCTGTGAAAGTTGGCTTTTACCGATTTATTGCTAAAAAAAAACCGGTAAAATGAAGAAATAGGGTTACAGTTAGAGATATAAATTTGAGATTCTCTCGCTTTTTCTTTCTGTGCTTTCCAGGCTATGTCTCTCTCTCTCTCTCTCTAATATAAAACAACAATTTATAAATTACGATACTTTCCTTTGATCATATCGTGCGATATGATTGCATGCTATACAATTCTTTTTTTTACGAGCGTAATGACATTTCGCTCGTACATCGAACATCAATGTCGTCGCGTCGACGAGCCGTCAATATTAAATAAATCACTCCCGCGAATTCGCGAAGTATCTGTTTGCGTGTAAGCGCGAGGGAAGCGCGGTTCCACGAAGGAAAGAGCAAAGGAACGAACGAAAAACGGTCTTTAATTATTTGCGATCGGCTGGGGCGAGTCCCGCGGGTGTGTTCCGCCGAGTTCGACGGAGAGTTAATTAATCCCGCGGTATAATTAAAGCGCCGTTTTGTCGAGCATCGCGGAGGATAGGACGGAGGGGGCAGAGAATGGTCCGCTCGCTCTCTCTCTCTCTGGAAGTTAAACTCTACGAAGATCAAATTGTGAATCCAAGCTGTCCGGGACTCGCCGGAGGGTGGAAAGGAAGTGGACTCTGCGACACGACAGGGGTGGCCTGGGACCGATTTAATTAAATTCTAACGCTTTCGGACAACGCGCGCGAACGGCGTCGATCGCGCGCCGATATCTCCGACGTTCCCTTCCGGGATCGCAGCGCGAGGAATCTGGATCGTGATCTGGACCGAGGGGCGAGGCCCATTCGAAATTATTTCTTTCATCGTTACGCTGCCTCCGCGCTTTCGCGTGTCGGGCTAAAGCTCGTCAGCGACGATATTGCGCTCTGACGAAGCCGGAACCTGGGGATACGAACACGCGAACGGGAAGAGAGGGCGGGCACCATTACGGTGAAATTTCATGACTCCAAGTGGATTGAAAGTTTTTGATGTTATTGGACGCCGAACGTCAATTTCGTCGTTGCGTCGAGTCGTGGCCGTTAATCGGTACTCTGTCGTCACGTCAATAACTCGAGCTCGATGGAATTACGAGCTCGACAAAGGTTTCCGGTATTATTTCGAAATTATATCGTAAATCCGATTCATTTCGCGTCGCGGAACATGTCGCAAAAATATTTATTCGTCCTACGAAGAAACTCTATTCCCGATTTTTCTGCGCTACGCACCAAGCATTAATATAAAACGGATTGCTGATTTTTATTTCTCTGCATTATACGATCCTCGTGAATAAATTATGTCTTCACAAGCGCGTATATATCGTACCAGTTTAAAACTGAAATTCTCCCTTCCGCTTCATGTTTTTGTACCTCGGTGTAATGTTCGTTGCCACAAAACAGAGGTTCTTCAATCGATTGTACATACACACAATATATCTAAATATAAATTTAAGTATAAGAGTTCACATATTAAAAATTATTTGGCTATCTAGATCGTGCCTTGGACATAATAGGCGTCTCGTTTCTTGTGATTTTTAATGGTCCTGATTTAACTCTATAAACGTAAGCAATCAATCGTGTCCAGTATTGAAATCATTTTTTACTCATTTTATACAAAATAAATTTTCCTCGGATATTTACAATAGCCAAGTATCGCGTGCGCGATCGTCATAAAATAAAGCATCTAATTCTGCTATTCTTGCAAAAATATTTCGCATATTTAAAATAGCGCCGGTGTTTGCACAACAGATTTACCGTTCATTCTGCCATGTGCTAGCGCGATAACTCTGAAAATTCACGAACGGCGAGGATACGACAAAGGCGAGGATATTATAAATGTGCAAAGTCCTTGGTGGAAGCGTTTCCATGGAGATATCATTGTGGTTGGCCTATTTCCAACTATGAGGACGTACTCAGCGGCCGCGAATATTTGCTAATTACAGTACAACGGCGTCTATAACTGCAAAATCTAGTGATTACCGTAGTACCGCTTTTGATCTCAAACGTTATCGACGATCACACGGATATGTTGAACGATCGTTCGAGCGTCCTCTCGATGTGCGTCGAGTGGCGGGCGCATCTTTGCGCGATTTTTCAATCAGAGGCAATATTCTGGCAGCAGCGCAAAACCGGACAAACCGTCGAAAAAAAAAGAGCGCGCGGGTGGCTAGTTTTTTTTTCGTCACAATTCGCGACAATGCATATCCCTTATTTTCGCGGCCCGTCATTTCCGCGAGGTTTATCCGGCTATCTACTCTCGGCGACATAACTTACACCTTACATCGGGGATTCCCAGTGCGTACGCACGCACGTACGCACTGTTTTTCTAGCAATCCGTCACACGTACGTGCATAATACGTGTCCCGTCGCGATATAGATGACTGCCTCATAGGCGCAAGCGCGACCGGACTCGTCGTCGAAAACGACGGACGTTCAGTCGCTCGGCATTCAGTCGAGCACCGGCGTCGTCGACGGCGACGTCGTCTCCTCCCTTGCGCCAGGACGCCACCCTAATCTCGCCACCGCGCACCACAGTGCCATGTGATCGTCCCGTCGTTCGAGGACGCGCGCTCGATCATGAACGATCTATGACAGCATACGCGCGAACAAGATACGCTGACAGTCGTTAAAACTGACATTTCTCTACGTATCATGTATCGTGTGGATGGACGAAATTTTTTTCTAGAATGATTTCTTACGATAATTACGAAGTGCGTTGAATCTTTGCGGATTCAGTAAATCGAGAGACTTATACAATCTCGAAGATTGGCGCGGGAAATGGCAGGCCGGGTCCGTGGGTGGAACCACGTGCGAGCAGTCGGTGCCAAAGCGAACGAGCAAATTTTCCTGCGATTCTTGGCGACGCGTTGAAGTTGAAACTAATTAACTGACTAGGCGGGTGCGTGGTACGCGTACGGAGCATGTAAGACAATGCGGTGGTGTGGTGGTCCTTGCGATCTCCTGCGGCGCAAGATTTTCGTCCTCCTTCTCTTGATCGGCTGCAGCGATGGCTATTTTAATATATTCATCAGCCATTCTCAGGTCATGAAGCTTTTAGGTATGTAGGACTTGATGTTGAACATATGCGAAAAGCAAGTAGAGGAAGCTAAGATAAATAATCATCAGGACGAGAGTTAAGAAGGATTTTATTTTATTCTACAAATCTGTGTAAAATTAGTCAAATTTGTATCGAGTTAATGTAAAAACGAAAAAGTGTGGCTGAAAGAATACATGCGACAAAAAATGTCTGCATACAAATTAATTGGGATTCGTATGCGTATTTGATTCATACTGGGGTGCCTTTAGCTGCGTTCGTGAAATACTTCAAATACACAAATTTTTTATTTGAACGAACATAGGTTTAGCAGGTTGTTTAATCTTTAAATAATGAGATTGGATTGTGATAAAAAATTTTAAATATAATTAAAATTTTTTGTATTATATCAAACACTTTTGTTTGAATACCCTATTTGACGAAAAATTCGTTGAAGCTTTTTACTTTTTAATAAGATTCAATTAATGAATTAATGAATTCATTAATTCAATTAATGAATTAATAAAAATGACTTTGATAAAGGCAATCGTTGTTACTCTAGTTCGTGCATTTCAAATGGAAATTATTTAAAATTTATTACGAGCAAATTCATTAACACAAACCGATTCGTATTTTTCCGACATGGATTATGGAGCGGCTTTAATTATACCTGATTTATTAATAGAACAATCTATTCTCTTCTTGCGAGCAATTTTTTTCTCGTGACACCGTGTCATTCTACCTTGACGCGAGCGTTAGTTGCAAAAGTGTTAAAATGCCCGTCCCGTCCTGCCCCGCATTACTTTTTCCATTCAATCTAAACTCTCACGTACATTTCCGCGTGGTGGTAAACATGAAAATTTCCTCTCCCGCGGCTCGTTAACAAGTCCCATTACAATTGCGCGTCGGGCGCGGTATTTTCTGAAAGTAAACGAAAGCCGGCGAACGCGCGAAAAAAGGTTGACAGAGAGAATCTGCGAAACCGGACGATTACCGTGTTGTCGCGCTGGTGCTTGTGCGTGAAGTCGCAACCAACGATAAAAATCACTTCAAACATATAACATAAATAAAAAAAAAGTGAAACGAATAGTGACATAGTGGGAGGGTTGTGTAAGAGGATTAATTTTAGTATGACGATAAAAAATTTGATATTTCTCAAAATTAACAAACGCGCGACACGTTAAGAATATACACCTAGATCTCTGCGTAATTAGCATCTCGTTCTTAGAATTTTAATATACTCGCAAGTACAATCTTGATTTACAAGAAAAAAAATTCTAAAGTTTCTGATGATCTCGGAACAAATTTTATCAGTTAAATATGAAAACCTATAGAATACTAACTTTACATTTTTCTAATACAAAAATTGATAATTTCTCATTTGAATTAGAATCTTATAGCGAATTCGTTTGCCTGCACTAGTGCGCACTGAGTGCACACTAAGGCCTGTTTATAGTCAATTTTTAAATTTAATTTTATCTTAAATACATATTCAAAGAGTATTTAGCCAAAAAAACAGATCATTTTACTAACTACGAAATATTTCAAGAGATATTTGAGACGATCCTTAAATATAAGAATTGTCTGTAAACAAGTCTTAGGGTGCACTCAGTGCGCACTAGTGCAAGCAACCAAATTCGCTATTAATTAATTAAAATAAATAGGGACTATTAAAAAATATTCGTGTTTATCTCGGAACAAAGGTACATGTGTGCGTAACATAAGCATAACAATGCAAATTAGCATAGAATATTCTCTTTCCGCTTTTACGTTTGTAATTGCCATTTGTGATTGCGTTATCTCTTGTGCCTTACCTAACTCTGCCTCTTTAGCATTCGCAGCGTCCTACATTCTCAGTGTGCAATTAACGCAATTGTAACGCGTCGCGAGGGGCAAGTTCTTTCGCGAGACCCGCCGGGACGCGATTTTAACGAACGCGGGCGGAAAAACTTGTGGCCGCGCGCGGTGTCGGGGGTTGGTTACACACTTTGTGGTATCGCGAGCGGCGGCGAGATCGCGGAACGGCCGGTGAAAGAGCGAATTAGCGCCGGGACCGCTTATGGCGAGCGTGCGGGGTGTCATTTCAGCAATTTGCGGCATGAGCCACTCGTTTTAATGGTCACCCGCCATATATCGGACCTCGAATCCGTGCCCGCGGTGCACATATGCACCTAGAAAGTTTCCGTTCCGTTCGATATCATTTTACGGCCCCGTGATTCATATACGTGCGCGCGGTGGTACCGCATCACCGTGGACCAACCAGACGTTCTCCAGTCGACGTCGGTCGATTGGGTCGGACGCGGAGACGCGACGAGGACAATGGTCGGCTGGGGCGCGTTGGTGTAGGGTCGGAGGGAAAAAAAAGAGTGGAATCGCCGTATTTACGAGCGGCCGGCGGCTCGTGACTCTTCGAAAATCGAGGCAATCCCGGCGGTCGCGACACTCCGAATGGCAGAGCGATCCGACACGTTCCGCCGGATGCGTGTGCTGTATAGATTGCGCTACGGCACTTTCGCACATTTCACGTTAATCGCGAAATATGGCACATCGGCGAGTGTGCGAAAAAAAATGGAGGAAAAGAGATACACGCAGGGGGCGAGTTCGCGAGCGACCTGAGAGCGCGGGTCGGCGAAGTTTATAGATTTTTTTGAAATTTGTCGGTAACTGGCGCGGTCTATTTGTTGATGAAAAATTGCGCATTTATTCGCTAGAAATAAGAGCACGGGTGGTGATACAATATCGAAGTGCGGCAACGCATATAAAAGATTAGTTCGGCTTCTGATAACTTCGGCCCATCGAAATGCTAACCTTTGGAGAACGAGAAGCCTATTTTTAGCCTCCACGGTGATGGCTTCTTTTTCGTAGTATAACACTTTACGCACATATACTATAAAAGCTATAAATAAAACTCATAAAGAGTCATGGAAAAACCTGCCCGTTCTCTAAGGGTTTTTCGCCGGAATTACTCGAGTGTAAGCACATACCTGAGATAAATGAAGACGAACGAAGATAAAAGAATAGGCGCTGCGGAAGAGAGGAACGATAGTAGTCGCTAAGATTAGAGATAAGTAACGAGCAGTTGAGTTTATCAATTTATATGAAGTTTCGATGAGAATGATATAAGATGTTTTCTATTAATTTTAATAACACATTTTTTAATACGTAAGATGACGCCTTTCAGAAAAATTTGTACGACATTATCATTTCTCCCTTTTATCTTTTAAGAGCTACGGGGAAGTATTCTTTAATTATACACGTATCGTTTAATTTTATTTAAAATAAAATATCTTTTATTCTACGCAACATTACTAACTTATGTAATTCGTTGAAATAAAAACGAAACATTTCGTTGGCGGTTGGTTAAGGTTAATTGTTTTTCATCTTATAATTTATACAACATGGAGCATGACGCAAATTTAGCAAAAGGCTAGGTCGGTGGCTCTATTCCTTAAGCGAGTCTATTTTTCAAGTGCCCCAAGCGGCCGCAGATCTCTAGATACAGGGTAATCTTCGTCACATTTCGGATTCTGTCGTTGGGGACGTAGGAGCGGGAGGACGATGGGAAAGTGAAAGGGTTGCTCCTGAGAGGAGGTAAGCGGTGGGGCAAGTTTCGTCGCCGGGGCTCTCGAAAGTCACTTAACTTAGATTGCACGAGCGAAATGACTTTACTTCCCCGGAAAACTTCGTTCCGTTGGAAAGGCATCTCCTCTCTGCAAGCACCAAAAAAAAAGAAAGAGACAGAAAAAAAGGAACGCGGGGAATAAGGATAGAAAGAGAAAAGTCTGACAGAGATAGAGAGAAAGAAAGGCAGCGTGTGTGCACGAGAAAGGCGGTTGAAGGGCGGTGTGTTACGTGGAAATGGAGGGACGGGGAGCGAAGGAGAGAAAATACTCACTGCCACCCCCGCGTACACGCCCTCCCTTTTCCACGCCCTGCGAGGACGAAGATACGAGTCGACTATTACCTGACACCTCCGTGCGGATTCAGCATTTACTTCCGCCGTCGAGTTCGGAACGTTTACACGGGGTTTGCTCTGATTGGGCAGGGGATTTCTCACCGTGTGATGAAAGGCGCGGGATGAGCTTGCGCTTTGAAGTAATATCCTTATTCCTCGAATGGAGTTGTCTCTCGGCAACCTGGATTTACTACCGAAATTGCTTCGCGCGCTAGTCAACTGATCTCACGGCTTCAACGGTGTAGAGTATCGAGTTTTCCTCCTCGACAAAGTTATCTGGCGGTAATGTCTGAAGGCACGAGTCTAATTTGCGTTTATTTGTATGACAAGAAAAATTAACTGAATGACAAGTTCAAGTCGAGAGACAACGCAGAATATGATTGATAGTAAGAGATGCCCCGAATTTACGAAAAGTGTAGGCCATTTCACTTTTAAATTCAGCGCGATCGAAATATTAATTGGACCGTGGCGCGGACGTTCGCACGCGTTGTTTTTACCTTGCGTATACAAATTTCGGGAATCACACGCTGCGCGCAATAAGCAGGAACTTTGGAATTGTCCCCGTCCTAGAATTGATTTTTAATTTACCCTCGGACACACACACTATGCACTCTCGTTGCAATCGTCTCCGTATGTTTGTCCTGTCTGGACCACGAAACGCTCCGACAAACAACCGACAACGTGTTCATTGCCGTCGACTATCGGACTAGCTCGTGAAACGACCCTTGTCGATTCCCCAGGCTCGAGCCGCGTCGCTGGAAACGACACGAGAAAATCGATTATTCCGCAAGAACACCCATTAAAAAAAAAAGTATTACACGAAAAGATTATCGCGTACATTCACGAAATACCTTGCATATCGTGGAGAATTTTTTTAACGTTCATCATTTTTGCGTGTTTATGCTCCAATTTACTATGTTATTTATTAATTATGTTTTATCAATTATATTTTCATTTAATTTATCAATTATATATACCAGTACATGTTAGTGCAGTTTCATATATTTGATTTTTAATCAACTTAGAAGAATTGGTCTTCTATACTTAAAAATATATTACTGAAAAATTC